AAAATAATAGTAAGAGTCATTGTTTAGAATTAATTTATTAAATTTAAAAATCACCTTCAAATCCTACAGATTTGTCAACATGTTTATTGCCTTGAGATACGATTTCTGTCAATTTTGACTCTACACGTCATGTCAATAAAATGTTATAAAATTAAATTTTAAAAATCATGGTAAGATAAATAATAAACGTTACCTAATAACCCAATATGTCTTTCAAAATCAGTTTGTAATCCCCATGATATTCTGCTACTTTTTCGGGAATGTCTAGACATAATATTTGCTGATGGAAGTGGGGGCGGTGGTGTTATTACAAAGTTGCAATGTTCTTGTTGTGGCTGTTCATGTTTTTGCGGATTCCATATAACATCATTCTAACCATATTTAAAATTAAATTGATTAAATAAATAATAAATAAAGATCATCTAATTTAAAAAACTAACATCACGAGTTTCTTCGTTAGCATCGGATGCCTTTTGCCAAAATACATCTTCAGATTGATCAGGAAAAACCTTTTGATTACTTATTTCCGGGGGATTAATTAAAGCAGATACATCGGTTGACATTGCAAAAGACTAAAATTTAAAAGATTCGCATAGGCTTAATATATATACGGATTTTGGTAGTACAATTATAATTCGAGAAATTCACCGACTATGTTACACGACTTAATCATATAAAATGGTAATTTTTTTTTTTTAAGATTTGAAAGATGGACGTTTCAGCACAACTTGAAGCTCAAAAATCCAAATAGTGAGTTTCATCCTTATCCTCAATTTCCATGTGAATATTTCTAAATTTCGTTTCTTTAATCAGCAAATCAATAAATGTCGAAAAACAAGTTCCACTACAATTCGATCTCGGATTATTAGCCGGATTCGATGTAAATGCACTGGAAGAAAATAAATTAAAGTAATTTAGACAATTCTTATTGTTTGACTTCTTATTCCAAAACCTTAACAAAATCTATATATTTAGAACAGAAACTGATAATTACTTAAAATTCTATACCCGTGACGGCACCCAACTCTTAATTAATGAAATATTCCGACTTCCTCTGACTTCGATACAGGATGTCGGTGTGGTTGCCGAGTTACCAAAGATTGTTACCGTTATCCCACGAGAAAAACCCGTATGCTACGAATTTTAGTTGTCTTTGTTTTTTTTTTTTCACTTTTCAACTTGATTTTTTTTTTTTTTAAAAAAAAAAATAGTTGCCAAAACCAAAGCCACCGACACGATGGGAACGATTTGCAAAACTTAAAGGCATTAAAAAGAATAAAAAAAGTAAATTAATTTATGATGAGAAAAAGGGAGAATGGGTTCCTCGGTGGGGATATAAGGGCGCAAATGATGATGGTGCTAACGAATGGTTGGTTCCCGTACCCGATAATGCCGGTTAGTTTTTATCATTTTTAATGATACAATCTTTATTTTTATTTCAATTTAACATTCATTTTTTATATACAAAAACAAAACAAAAAAAAAGATCCATTTGAAGACCAATTCGCTAAATTACGTGAAGCTAAAAAAGGACGAATTTCAAAAAATGAAACACGCAATCGAAGAAACGTAGAAGAAGCAAGAATTGATGAAGGTCAACACTTAAACAGTGCACAACCACAATCTAAAGGCAAGGTAAATGTAAAGGTAGGGTTTTGTTGCGAAAGTTACAATCTTACAATACATATATTTTTACGTAAATTCCAGTAAATCAGTTTTTATGTAGTTTTCATCACATCATATGAGTGTCGCTAAAAGAAAATCCGAAAATTTAAATATGACTTATATTTAAATTTTCGGGTTTTCTTTTAACGATACACATATGAGTGCTGCAGAGCCAAAACCTGTAACTGAACATAGTAAATCATTATGATCAGTTACAGGTTTTCGCTCTGCAGCACTCATATATGAAATACCTGGGTTGAAAATTACATTTCGTGTAATTTTGCGTAAGTTTCAGTAACATGGATTTCATGTAAATTCACACGTGATATATAGTACTATGAGAAACCTAAAAAAGTTTACTGATCAAAATTGCACATATGATCCAACCAATCACATGGAATCATATGATCGTATGATCAATTTCTTACAAGTCACATGAAAACCATTTTACCGAAACCTACACAAGATTACGCAAAATTACGGTAATTTTACAACCCTAGAAATACCGGCTTTACAAAAGTCTGGCCAGCATTATTTCATCATTTGATTTGAATATATTATCTAAAAATTACATCCCTATGCAAAGGCTCAGAAGGCAGAATTGCGCCGACAAATTTCCATGGCCAAAACATCAACTGCTAGCCATGGGAAATTCGACAAGCCTGTTAAAGGCGAACCATCAACTACGAAAGGCGTTAAAAGAAAGGTATGTGACGCAACTATCAAAGAATACTTAATGGACAGATTTGTGAATAAATTTCTATCAATATGATTCAATCTTGTACGGAAATTTAGTTCGAATCGAACCTTGGAGACATAAAGAAAGAAAAAGAAGCTAGGTTAAGTATACTCAATAAAATAATTGACAAAAAAGGCGAAATTTTAAATGTTAGAAAGGTAAGCCAAAAGATTCCTCCTTTATATTTGGTTTTATTTTATTTTTTATTTTTTTACTCAAACTGTTTTAGGCGCAAAAATTGATCGGATAATCGACCGCCATTAAAAAAAAAAAAAAAAAAATACGCATATGCGTGTATATTTCACATTAAAGGAAGTACGGGTATTATGGTACACTTAAGAGTTGCTAATAGTAAAAATTTTTATGAAATGCATTTTATTCACAAGATTTGTTTAAATAACATAACATTCGATTCACTATCTAATGATAAAAAAAAAAAACTACACGTTTTAAAAAAAAAAACTTGATATTCTAGACTTTTAGAATCCGTTTAAAACCTGTTATGTTAAGGGTATTACGCAAATCGATATATTATGCAGATAACGATAACCCTTTTTATATTTGCATTTTGCTGATCGCTTCCTCGAAATGGGTCGGCTAAAGCGGAGTTAATTCAATATATGATCTACATGCTGCATAAATTATCTAACCATAACTTCGTCACTCAAATAGGAAAAAAGAGAAAAATAGCGTAATACGTACTAACTTTTCCTCAAGTCATGGTCAGAATTGATTAATCTTTGTATCATTCGATTCGTCTCAGTAAAACGAATCGAATGGTTCTAAAACTTTTTAATTCTGATTGCCAAAAAATGTGTGTACCACAATACCTCCCGTATCATAATACCCGACTCTCCCTCATCATTATACGTAGTAATTATCATCTGGGCAGCTTTATTTAGTTATTTAGTACGTGGGCTACCATTTTATTAGTAAAATTTTGGAGATATTTATTAATTCCGGTTTATTTCGACCCCAAATTTGGGTTACTCTACGTACTAATTTATCCGTAACGGTAACAGTAAGCGAATTTACACATGATATTAACCAATCAAAATTAATATAAATCATGTGATTGCAAACCATTTATTTATTTAAAATTGCACATAATTATAATAAAAGTTAGTAAAAAGTAAATTTTAGGGTATGTTTAGGTGCATCAAAAAAGTAGATGCAAAAGTATCAAATGAATGTTTTGCTCTACGGACAGCGCTTAGAAACAACTATCCACCAAAAAAGTTACTGATACGTGAGGAAATCAACAAAAAAAAGATCTTCGGAAAATCAGTTTTTATTCATAAGAAATTACAAAATTTTATTAATACAACTACTTTTGTGTCTTAAGTAAAAAATAAAAAATAAACCTGAATTAATTTATGCAAAAAAAAAAAATTGGCCTTTTTGCAGCACCTAGCCCACGTGATCTTAACCAAATCAGAGTTCAAGATCAGGTGCAACGTTACACGATCAAGAAATTTCAAAAAAGATTCAAACAATTTTCTATTAGAATCTCTAAACCCAAACTTTAACATGGACCTAACCCTAACCTAAATAATCTTTAAAGAATTTTATCTAAGATTCCGTGCCAGTAACTTTTTGGTTAGGTGTCCAGAATTATGCGATGCGGTAGGGTAAATTATGCGATGTGACTGGCGATTTTTTATATAAATTTCCCCGATTATGCGATGTAACTCATGTGATATTTCGGAATTGTCAAATCACTTATCTACCAATCACATTCCACACACGTGACACAGATGCTCTTTTTTTGATTATGCGAAACATTCGCATAATCCTGAACCCTATTTTTGGTGGATAGTATTCCAAATCGGTCAAAATTTCAAATCAATTGACTAATAATCACGTGGTTTGATAAATTTGATTGGCCCAATACAGAATCACATGTTTTTTGTACAATTTGATTGCTAAAGAAATAAAACTTATTATGTAGATAATCAATCAACGATTATATAGCTGATTAATCGATTAGTCAACTAGTTGGTTTTTCAGCTAACGATTTGGATCATCATACTGGGGAAGATTAAAATCTATCTACCCTAACCGCTAATTAACCAATCTCAGCTTGGTCGCGTGATTTTCGCTGTCCTGTTCTAAAAATTCCTCTTTGTATCAAAAATTC